AGTAGTAGTAGTAGTAGTAGTAGTAGTATAGTAGTAGTAGTAGTAGTAGTAGTAGTAGTAGTAGTAGTAGTAGTAGTAGTAGTAGTAGTAGTAGTAGTAGTAGTCGTAGTAGTAGTAGTAGTAGTAGTAGTAGTAGTAGTAGTAGTAGTAGTAGTAGTAGTAGTAGTAGTAGTAGTAGTAGTCATTGTGATATCAGTCGTAGTAGTCGTAGTAGCCGTAGTAATTGTAATATCAGTCTCAGTAGTTGTAGTCATAGTATTAGTAGTCGTAGTAGTTGTAGTAGTAATAGTAGTAGTATTAGTAGTAGTAGTAGTAGTAGTAGTAGTAGTAGTAGTAGTAGTTGTTGTAGTAATACTTGTGGGGGGGGGGGGTGCAGTAGTGTTAGTAGTAGAAGTAGTACTAGTGGTAGTAGTAGTGGTAGTAGTAGTAGTAGGAGGAGGAGGAGGAGTAGGGTTACACTTCGTAGTAGTAGTGGTACTTGTGGGAAATCTAATAGTACAAGTAGTAGTGGTTGTAGTAGTAGTAGTAGTAGTCGTCGTAGTAGCAGTACTACTACTACTGGTAGTAGTCGTAGTAGTAGTAGTAGTAGTAGTAGTAGTAGTAGTAGTAGTAGTAGTAGCGATAATAGGAATAATAGGTATAGTAGAAGAAGTAGTAGTAGTAGTAGTAGTAGTCGTAGTAGTAGTAGTAGTAGTAGTAGTAGTAGTAGTAACAGTAACAGTAACAGTAACAGTAACAGTAACAGTAGTAGTAGTAGTAGTAGTAGTAGTAGTAGTAGTAGTAGTAGTAGTAGTAGTCGAAGTAGTGGTAGTAGTAGTCGTAGTCGTAGTCGTAGTAGTTGTAACAGCAGCGTTAGAAGTAGTAGTAGTAGTAGTATTAGTAGTAGTAGCAGTAGTCGTAGCAGCAGCAGCAGCAACAGTAGTAGTAGTAGCAGTAGTAACAGTAGCAGTGGTAGTAGTAGTAGTAGTAGTAGTAGTAGTAGTAGTAGCAGTAGCAGTAGTAGTAGTAGTAGTAGTAGTAGTAGTAGTAGTAGTCGTAGTAGTCATAGTCGTAGTAGTCGTAGTAGTAATCATAGTACTAGTAGTCGTAGTAGTAGTAGTAGTAGTAGTAGTAGTAGTAGTAGTAGTAGTATTAGTCGTAGTAGTGGTAGTAGTCGTAAAAGTAGTAGTAGTAGTAGTAGTAGTAATAGTAGTAGTAGTAGTAGTAGTAGTAGTAGTAGTAGTAGTAGTAGTCGTAGCAGTAGTAGTAGTAGTAGAAGAAGTAGTAGTAGTAGTAGTAGTAGTAGTAGTAGTAGTAGTAGTGGTGGTAATAGTGGAGAACCTCTCACATAACCTCTCCCATATTTTTTCACAGAACCTCTCTCCGAACCTCTCCCAGAATCTCTCAGAACCTCCCAGAACCATTCTCAGAACCTCTCTCCTAACCTCTCATAACCTCTCACAGAACCTCTCAGAGACTCCTCGAACCTTTCACAAAACCTCTCAGCACCTCTCGCAGAAACTCCCAGAATCTTTCGGAGTCTCTCAGAACCTTTCAGAACCTCTCAGAACCTCTCAGAATCTCTCAGCAGCTTTCAGAATATCTGAGAACCTTTCAGAACCTCTCAGAACCTTTCAGAATCTCTCTCGGAATCGCTCAGAACCTTTCAGAAGCTCTCAGAACCTCTAGAAGCTCTCGGAATATTTCAAAGGCTCTCAAAACCTCTCAGCCACTCAGAACCTCTCACAGAACTTCTCACAGGCTCTCCGAACCTCTCACAACACTTCCCACAGGCTCTCAGAACCTCTCACAGAACGTTTCACCGTCTCTCAGAACCTTTTCGCAGAGCCTTTCAGAGGCTCCAAAGTGGTTGTAATCTCATCCGTCCCACGTGTCCTTGACGGTTGGGATCTGAACCGTCCGGTTGTGATCTCACCCAACAGGTTGTGATCTGGACCTTTCTCGTGAGACAGGCCCGATTTAAGAGTAGGGACGGACGCCCATTGCAGAAGCCAGGAGGGAGGCCAGGGACAAAGAGGGAAGAGGCCCCGCCGAAACCAGGAACATATGGCTGAGGAAGAAATTACTCCGACGGATGGACCCCGCATGATAATTTGTTTAGCTTGCCCTTATCCCTTTCCTCCCGGCCATGGCAAACACCCTCCTCTCGCCCGCTCCTCAGCCCTCTTGTCTTCCTTCTTCTATTTCTCCCCCTCCCCCTCCTCCTCCTCCTCCTCCTCTTCCTCCTCCTCCTTCTCCACCTCCTCCTCATCATTGCCCTCCCCATACCCCTTCCCTCCTCCTCCTCCTCCTGCCTCTTCTCCATGTGCACCTCCCCTTCCCCTTGGTCGGGGGAAGCAAGTCGATTTTCTTCGGCGCCGTCGCCGCTTCGGGTCGGGACAGCCCTTCGGGCCAGCCATGTCTTTGGGGCAATCCCGCGGGCCGCTGGGGCGCGAGGGCAGGCCGTCGGGACAACCCCGCGGGCCAGACCGTTGGGACAACCCCGCGGGCCTCCAGGTGCGCGCCGCGGCGCTCAGGCGGGAGGCAGCACGAAACCCAGCTCTGCCGCGAGCTGCTCCGCCTCAGCCCTGAAGTCCACCGCTCTCTTGTCGAACTCCTGGAGCACCTTCCGCAGGGACGCCGGCGGCCCGCGCTCCAAAAACTCTCGCGCGGGCGGCCGCAGGATCAGCATGTTCCGCATGCGCGTGGCGCGGGAGAACATGACGTAGAGGTGCAGCCACCACTGCTCGTCCGACATGCCTCCGATTCGGCCGAGGATGGGTCACCACCCCCGGCCCGGACGCAGGGGGCTACCCCTGCGCCCGATTCGGCCGCCGATGGGTTACCACCAGCGGCCCGGAGACAAGGGGTTACCCCTGCCCCCGATTCGGCCGAGGATGGGTTACCACTTCCGGCCCGGACGCAAGGGTTCCCCCCTGCGCCCGATTCGGCTGACGATGGGTTACCACCGCCCGCCCGGAGACAAGGGTTTCCCCCTGCCCCCTCGTTGTCGTCGTCGTCGTCGTCGCCGTCGTCGTCGTGGTGTTGTCGGGTACGCAGGCCCATGACAACAGCAAATTTGCTGACGATCAGCTCAGACGAGGCTACCCGCACTTCGCTCACAGACAAAGTTCCCGCCTGACACTTCCCCCGTATTCATGCCGCAGGAGCTGAGGAGCCCAAAAAGCTCGCTCGGATGACCCGCCCGGATTACCAACATGAAGTGTGGGACCCAAAGGGAAGGGCTCCCGCTCCCGGTTGAGACTTCCTCGCCACTCACTCACAGACGAGGCTCCCGCTTGATAATTTTTCCACAGTCAGGCTTGAAGAGCCCAAAAGTGACGACAGTTACAAGAATCCGATGACCCGCCTCGGATTCGAACATGAAATGCGGGCCCCATAGGGAGGGGGCTACCGCCTGAGACTTCCTCGCAATTCACTCACAGACAAGGCTCCCGGCTGATATTTCCCCCATATTCAAGCCCAAAAGTGACGACAGTTACAAGTTTGAGGATGACCCGCCTCGGATTCGAAAAGGAAGTGCGGCCCCCATAGGGAGAGGGGGGTCCCGATTGAGACTTCTTTGCGCTTCACTCACAGACAAGGCTCCCGCCTAAGACTTCCTTCATATTCTGGCTTCAGGAGCCCGAAACTGACGACAGATACAGGTTTGAGGATGACCCGCTCGGATTACCAACATGAAACGCGGGCCCCATTGGGAGGGGGCTCCCGCCTGAGATTTCTTTGCAATTCACTCACGGACAAGGCTCCCGCCTGATACTTCCCCCATATTCAAGCTTCAGGAGCCCAAAAGTGACGACGGTAACAGGTTTGAGGATGACCCGTTCGGATCACCAACATGAAGTGCCAGCCCCATAGGGACGAGGCTGCCGCCTGAGACTTCCTCGCAATTCATTCACAGACGTGGGTTCCGCTTGATATTTCCTCCATATTCAGGCCTCAGGAGCCAAAAAATGACGACACTTATTCGTTTTGGATGACCCGCTCGGATTTCCAACATGAAGTACGGGACCCATAGGGAGAGGGGGCTCCCGCCTGTGACTTCCTCAGAATTCACCCACAGACGAGGCTCCCGCTTGGCACTTCCTCCAAATTCAGGCCTCAGGAGCCCAAAAGTGACGACAGTTCCAGGTTTGAGGATGACCCGCTCGGATTACCAACGTGAAGCGCGGGACTCATATGGAAGGGGGTCCCGCCTGAGACTTCCTCACAAATCATTCACAAACGAGGCTCCCGCTCTAGGCGTCCTCCATATTCAGACCAGGGAGTGAGTGATGACGAAGTGAGGAGTGAACGCGTGGTGATGAGGATGATGCTGATGATGGTGAGTGGTGATGATGATGAGTGACAGAATGATGGTGATGGTGTTGATGAGGATGAGGGTGATAAGGATGATACTTGATCGAAGTATGATGATGTTGTTGACGAGGATGATTATAATGGTGTGAGTGTGGATGGGTGTGATGCATATGATGGTGGTGACGATGACGACGATGATGATGAGTAGTGACGATGGGTGGTGATGATGATGATGGTGGTGAGTGAAGGGGTGCGGGGGTGATGATGGTAGTGATGATCAGGATGGTGATGATGATGATGATGATGATGATGATGATGATGATGATGATGATGATGATGAGTGATGATCACTGATGATGATGACGGCCAGAAAGAGGAAGAGAAAGAGAGATAAAGGGAGAGAGAGTGGGGGGTGAGGAGATCCTGCGCGGAGGGTGTCCAGAGAAAATAAGAACCCTACTTAGGATGTGGGGAAAAAGAGAGGGAAGGGCGCCCGCTGTCCAAGGCAGGAGGAAAGCCAGGGAAGAAGGAGGGAGAGCGCCCACTGCCCAATGTAGGCGGGCGGCAAGGCAGGCGAATCATCTCTTGCACAAGACAGGAGGGCTGCGAGGAAGGGAAGGCACCTGCAGAAAACAGGAGGGAAGACATTTACTACCACCACAGCCGGTTCGTCTCGACGGCCCCTTCCGATCTTCGTGAAGGTGATGGGGACGATTATCGTGGAGATTACAACCGCGCTGGTGCTTCTTTTTGTTGCGATGCTGACGATCATGACGACCATGTCCGTTCTGACCTTTGTGAAGGTGTCGGAGCCGATTATCGCGGCGATGATGTTCAGCGCGTTGATGCTGTCCTTCGTGCCAGCGCCGACCATTGCGGGGAAGATGTTCATCGTGCCGGGGCCGACCATCGTGGAACTCATATTTTTCTGGTGCCGACCTTCGCGGAGGTGCTGACGATTGTGCTCGCGCTGACCTTCTCGGAGGTGCTCTGGCCGAAACCCGTGGAAGTGCCAGAGTTCGTTCTTGTGCTGATCTTCGAGAGGGTGCCAATGCCGACCGTCGTGGAGATGGCGTTCAACGTGTAGCAGGTGACCGCGAATGTTCTTCAGATTATCGTGTCATCTGCTACACTGACAGTGAGTTTGTTTCTGAAGTGGCCAACGTTCCGGGGCACAGTGTCTGCGCGGACCATGCAGATGCCCACGCTGATCTCTGGGAGTTGGTTTGGGTCCGCACCGAGTATTGGGGTGGTCTGGAGTTTTTTTTTGCGGCGAGTGTCAGGGCCCATGACACTCCCGAGAAGAGACGCAGCACGCGCCTGAGGGAATTTGCAGGCAACCAGAAAGCTCACGTTTGGGCTAAGAAAGCCGCCCAGAGCTCGAGAGTCTTCCCTGACGATCGCGATCGGTTCCATCGCGCGCAGGAGCTCGTGCAGGGCTGTCGCCCTGCAGATCGGTTCTTCGGCTTGTCCGGCAGCTCGGGGCACGGATCGCTTCTCCATGGCGGAGCCCGCGGAGGCCCGCCGCGCGCGGGGCGAGACACGGCGGGCAGTTGCTGCCATTGTTGCTGCCGCCGCCGCTGCCCATCGGCATCCTGCCCCGCCCGTCCGCAGTCTGAGAAGGGTCGTGTGCATTCTGTGGAGGCTGGGCGCAGGCTTCGGATATGGGTCAGCAGTGCCAGTTTTGTGCGTGACATTTGTTGTGCCTCCTGCGGGGCCGGTGCATTTGCTGAAGGCCAAGTGCTGACGCTCGGCTCCGTATGCTTCCAGCCTTCGGTCCGGGGGCAAGAGGGTGCTCGCGGGCTTTGATCTGGGCCGAGTCAAGCACCGTCGCAGGTGCATCCCCGGCGAGACACGGGCTTCTGATCCCCCAGTCTCTGTAAGCTCACGCGTGGTTCGATAATGAGCTGAGTAGAATTAGGCCGGTCGCGCGACCTTTCTGTTAGCACTGTGAGCTTCCAAGAGGGAGAGGAAAAGGAAGGAGGAGCAGGAGACGGAGGATGGGGAGACGAAGGGAGGAGGGAGGGGGTAGAGGGGAAGGGGGCGTGGGGGGGGGAGGGAGGATCAGCAGGAGGAGGAGGAGGAGGAGGAGGAGGGGAGAAGGACGACGACGAGAAGGGAGGAGGGTGCCCGGCACGCGGCGGTTCGGGACCGCCCGAAGCTTCGAAGGACAAGGGCAAGAGGAGGAGGAGGGATGAGGGAGCAGGAAGAGGAGGAGGAGGTGGGAGGATGAGGATCACGGAGAAGGGGGGGGGGAAGGAATGGAGGGAGGGACGGAGGGAAGGAGGGAGCCAGAGGAGGAGCAGGAGGCGGAGGAGGAGGAGGAGGAGGACGAGGAGGGGGAACGTGGAGGAAGAGGAGGAGCGAGGGAGGGATGGGGGGAGGAGGAGGAGGAGGAAGAGGAGGAGCGAGGAAGAAAAGGAGGACGCGGGAGGAGGGATGACGGGGTAGGTGGAGGAGTTCGTGGCTGGGGCGGGCAAGGCGAGCGGGGGAAGCTCAACGCGGCGAAACAGGAAGCAGGAAACAACGGGCGGGGGGGGAGAGAGGACAGGAGCAGGAGGGTTGGTTGGTCGGTTGGTGCCCCTGGGGGCGGGCGTTGGTGGACTTGCGGGCGCGCCCTCTCTTTTTGGTCGCTCGGGGGGGGGGGGGGGCGGGCATCCCGCCCCAGAAGGGCCCCGACGCTCCTGGCGCGTGCCCCACCAACCACGGAGGATTAAGGCCGCGGGCACCGGCCAGGCAAGGGGAGAGGACGGTGGGGTGGCGATCGAGATGAGAACCCCCAAGCACACCAAAAGCCCGAACCGGAACAGCTTGGGGACAACATCATTCCCGCAGGGTCATCTGGCTGTGAGCGACCCTTACCCATAGCCAGGCCGTCAAGGAACAAACGACAGCTGAACGTACCGCCGCGGCCACGACAAGGGTCCAAACTTCCACGGGCCTACATTACGAGAGACAAACACGACGTCGGAAGTCTGGGGTACCAACTTCGAGCGCCAGGTTCGACACACGACTTTCATTGTTAGGTGTATTATGCGTTGCGTCTCTTGTTCTCCATTCCAACACGAACAAGTCAACACGAACAAGTCCTGCGGAGCCCTCCGATTTAGTCCCTTGTTGCAAGCTGCCCTGCTCGCGAATATGTTCGCCGTCGAGCCCGACGAGGGCGTTGTGGCGGCGGTCTGGGAAGCTGATATGGGAAATGCTCTGTCGAAACAGCTTCATTCAACGACGTTGCGCCTAAGGTGAGCAAAACTGTGAAGCACGACGCGGGTCAGGGTACATCTGCCTGGGACCAGACAGGGCACCTGCGGTATTGAACCGCTGCGCCAAAACAGCGCACGCGGCCGCTGGAAGCGGTGGTTGCTTGGGGTGACACGGGGCTGGGGAGGGAGAGCACGCGGCAGCACGCCTTAAAACTCATATCCGACGAGGGGGATTCAATTGGTCGGGAAGGATCGAGGGAGGAGGGGAGAGGATCGAGGATCCAGGCTTCTGGACTGCCTCTGCTGGTCTTCTCCCGGCTTTACGGAGGGTCTCTGGCCTTTTCCGGGAACTTCAAACCAGGGCCTCCGCGGCCGCGCTCGTGGAGGGCCTCCGGGGGCATACGCAAGAATATCAACAACCACGATTGGGGTGGATAGTTTCCGCGGGGAAGCATCGACACCCCATCGCGCATTTTTCGCCAGTAAGATCCCGATAGCCCCACCCCGCCCGAAAACGTGCGGTTCCGCTACCGGTGTCCGACCACCGACCTAATCACCAGCGATGAAACGTCGATTCCAGGTCGATGCTACACACAAACACACACCAGGCCAGTGCCCCCCTTGCGTGTCCCCTCAGTGGAAAGGGGGGGCCGTGAGCATGCTGGCCCACCAATGGATCAGGGACCAGGCCAGGGCTTGAGGTGCGTTACCATTGGAATTGTCGGCGCGCACGGGGCGGTTGCGTGAGCTCGGCGGCCTTCTCAGAGTCGCGGGGGGGGGGGCTTGTAAGAAGGCTATGTGCAAGCTCTTACGGCGCTTCAGAGAGGCCTTCGTAGAATTCTTGACATTTCGCGTATCATCACAAGCGCCGTCGTTGACTTTCCGACGCGTGGCGCCTCCAACTGACTTGCAGTTGTGCGCGGTGGCAGTTCCCATCAGTCTCAGTCCCGGCAGCCCCCCATCTGAGGCCTCGGCCGCGCTTAGTTGTCGCCTCGCCCGTCGCTCTGTTTGTTTCTCCCGCGTTTCCTTTGCCGAATTAGTCTCTGCGTAGCCCGTTTTGACCTGACACGCCGCCGGCGCGCTCGCCCGCGGCCGCTGACTAAGAAGTATGCTCACCAGCGTAGGCTAATTCGTCTTTGCGCGCCCCGCTATGACTGGACTCGCCGCTGGCGAGTTTGCCTGCGGCCGCTGACTAAAAGAATAGCTTCGCCAGCTGAGTGACTGTGCGACTTCGGTGGCGCCAGTCGTACTGGTTCCTGGTCAGTGACGTATTCCTGGCCATCGGTGTTAGTATTACCGCCTGAAGCGTATTGCAAGCGAGCTGACCCCCTCAGGGGCTGGGTGCATGGATGTCTCGTGTGTCTTATTATACGTCAAGCCCGCGCCCTCAGCGGTCACTTGAAAGTTTCGCTGTGTGTGACCTTGCCGCGCCATTCTGGCTGCGTTTAGCTCCTTGGTTCAATTCGTGCATCGGCACGGCCCCTGGATTCTGGCCCTGGTTGCAGTCAGCATCGCCCGCCGGTAAAGTTTCGGGCCCTGCCCCGCTTCTTGGCACCACCTCGCGCAGCCCGGCAGCTTTAGGCAGCTTAGGCAGCTTAGGTTCGGCCGTCGGTCCCCGTGCGCTAGGCAATTAGGCTCGCGCGTAGCCCGCCCGACCTCTGACGCTGCTGGCGCGCTCGCCGGCGGCCGCGACAAAAAACGTATCGGCACCAGCCCATCGAGACACGATCGCCGGGTGAGTTTCCTCGCTGAGGGCAACGTAGAAGCATACAGTGCGACAGCCGCCTTGGGTGCTTTTCGGGGGTGCGGGGAGGGCGGGAACATGTGTTTTATGAGTTGCCAAAAAGGTATGTTGAACAGGTCGGCCTGGCGCTGTTTTGGCTCGATTGGGGTCTTCGTGGGTCCTCTCCGGCGAGTTTCGACTTGCCCCGATTATGTCATCGAGGAGGGGGTCCTGCACCACCATGCTGCCAGTGTTGTTATGTTCTGAAGAGGTTTCTGAAATCATCAGATCGTATTGCCACGAATGAGGGAGGAGGGGGAGAAGGAGGAGGAGGAGGAGGAGGAGGAGGAGGCGGAGGAGGAGGAGGAAGTGGATGGGGAGCAGGAGGTTGCATGCGGCCCTGGGTATGTCACGCGTTGCCAATGGTTCTCCGAATGGTTTTAGAAACACGAAGGATCATACTGCCCCGCGCCAGTGTTTGGCGCTCTGGCGGCTCGGTTCCCCCTTCCGGGCCCAGGGGAAGGGGTAGGGGGAGGGGGTCAGGACCCCCTCCCCGCCCGCAAACAGTCTCGCTCACCCTCACCCGCCCTCCCAACACATACGTAGTACCCGAGCCTGGCCCGAGCCTCCGCATATTCAGCAATCGTCTTTGGATGGGCAGCTACTGGGGACGCATCCGCCGCCGCCGCCGCCGCCGCCGCCCCCGCCGCCCGCCGCCGCCGCCGCCGCCCGCGCCGCCGCCGCCGCCGCCGCCGCTGCCAGCCGCCGCCGCCGCCGCCGCCCCCGCTGCCGAGTCGCCGCAGCCGCTGCCGCCGCAGCCGCTGCCGCCACCTTTGCCGTTGCGCCACCGCCGCCGCCGCCGCAGCAGCCGCCGCCGCCACCGCCGCAGCAGCCGCCGCCGCCGCCGCCGCCAAGTGTACTCTGTATTGTTTTTTGACAGGGATGGTGGGAGGGCCGCATCGGGTCGGCAACGCATGCTCCGAATTTGGAGGCAGAGTGTGTTTTGCATTGTCTTTTACAAGGGACGGTGGGGGGGGCCCACATTGTCCCTGGTTTGACTGCCAGTCGCGTGGGGGAGGGGGTGTATGTCAATAGGGAACAGTGATCAAATCACCCTCCTAGATAGCAAACCGTCTGGCTCACTCCCACCCGTTCTCCCAATACATAAGTAACACCCGAGCCTCAGCACGTTCAGCGATCGTTTTTGGATGGGCAGCTATTGGGAACCAACACCGAACCCATGTGCGCGACGCTGGTGCAAGGCGCGCCACGCGCGCCAGGCGCGCCAGGTATCCTTGGGGCCCGAGGTTGCCAGGCACGCTTGGTGCGCCAGATGCGCCACGTGCTACACGTGCGACAGGTATGCCGCATACCCCAGCCGCGCCAGGTGCGCGACGCCCGGGGCACGCGCAAAGTATGTCAGGTGCGCTTGCGCACGTGACAGCACACATCGGGAAACGTGTTGGCTCCCACCCACCATCCTCGTCGAAAACCATCGGCAGGACCGCTGGGCCGAGAAACTATTTAGCATCTGCTGGATTTGGACGTTAGCACCTGGCCCCATGTTGGCGGCCGCGCTTGCCTCCACATCCCTGTCTTCTTGCCGTGCTGACTCGGTGATCAGGCTTCCATTCTCTGCCCTCAGGCTGCGAACGAGCGAGCGAGGAGAAGGAGATGGAGGGAGGAAGGAAAGGGATGAAAGTAGGAAGGAGCCTCCCCTCCCTCGTCGTCCTCCTGCGCTCGGGTACCAGTCCGTCGGTCCGCCCTCTCTTTCGGTACCCCGCGTGGTCCCCTTTTCTCCGTCGTCGCGCTAGTCGGCCCCACCATCGGCCGGATCGAGCCTTTTTCCGAGGCCCCATCCTTGCCCATTTCTTTGGTGCGCGCAGGGAGATGGCCACGGCTGCACTTTCCTGGGGGACGAAGGCCGCCAGCTTCCAGCTTCGAGAGAGGAAGGACGAGGTCCGTGACCACTTTGGCCCAAGGACAAGGCCAGGCTGCGAGGTACCTCGCCACCGCTGGGCGCCCCCGTGCCACCTGCTGCCATCCTATAGGATGCAACTCGTGGGAGGTTAAATCTGGCTGGTGCACCCGCGGTCGACAGCCGACCTAATCCGGTAGAGTCTGGTACGGTTGAGTCCCCCGCCTAACATCTGGCCGGATGTGGCAGAAGGGCCCCACAATCGGGTGGAGCCCCCCCAATCGTTCTCACGCAGACCTCCCAGGGGTTCTTCCCTACTCCAGATTTCGTAATAAAGGGAGGGGGGTCTCATTTCGGGGGGGGGTCTCTTCCAGGCTCTCCTGGAGGGCCTGGGGGGGTCTGGGGACGATGTTTTGGAGGGTTCTCCCTGGGGGGGGGTCTAAAACTTCTCGTCTGGGAGAGTTGAGACCCCCTCCCTTTTACTACGAAATCTGGAGTAACTGTCTGCGCTCCTGCCGCCGCCAGGGGGCCGCCCGCCGCCGGCCATGGAGGGCGGCGCCGAGGGGCTCGTCTCTCTGCTCGCGGACCTGTGCGACCAGTTGGAGCTCGGGCAGCGCCGCGCACAGGAGGCCCTGAAGGGGCCCCAGGACACACAAATATATACACACAAATCGACATATTCCCCATATTTTCATATATTTTCTGGGTTTTTGTCTTCCCCCCACACTTCCCATATTTTCCCATATTTTCTGGGGTGTCGACGATTAATTGTGTCTGTGTGTTTTTGTTCCCTCCTGAGGCCCGAGGGGCACAGGCAAGGGAGGGCAGGAGGAGGAGGGAGGGCGGAGGAGGAGGGGACGGGGGGGTAGGAGAGGGAGCGGGCTTGGGGGGGCGGGTGCGCCGCGCTCCCTTCGTCTCCGCGGGCGAGCGCGGCGGGCGGGGGAGGCTCAATGCGACGAAGCAGGAAGCAGGAGCCAGGGGCGGGGAGGAGAGGCCGGTCTGACGGTCGGTACTCGCCATCTGATCCCGATCATGCCAATGAGTGCACATCAGTTGGATCGGCGCGCGCACTGTCGCACTCTCGCGACCCGCGTTGTCAAAACCTAGGAGGGTGCCCCAAACATTCGCCCAAAACGGGGACACCAGGGCGAGCTGGGTCGGAATGCCAGCTACTTTCGGCCCATCGTTCAGACAGACGGCAATCTACTTGACTCCTCGCACTATCACAGCAAGAGGACAGAAAGGAAATAAATGGGGTTGCAGTGTTCCGAAATCGAGTGTGCAGCCGCCACCAGCCCCCCGGCACGGGCGGGACGACGGCCAAGCAGAGACGGGGCCGACCACACTTTTGGACTTGGACCTGAAAGGAACGATGACCCAGACACGCGTGCTGCAGAAATACAGGCATCTGGCGGAGGAGGAGGAGGAGGAGGAACAGAACAAAGAGAAGGTGCTCACTCAACACAGCACGGCCCCCGCCCAGACCCCCGCCGTCTACATACGCTTCCCAGGAGCGCCTCGGCTGTCCGGCGGGGCCCACGTGCCTTGAAATCGGATTTCGTATCTTTCGCTCACGGTCATCCTAGGGGCCTGTCTCAGGCTCGCTTGTTCTTGCCGCGAGACATCTTCTCCAGGACGTTCTGGCTTCGGATGGCTGCCCATCGCCATGTACAGGCGCGTCAGCGCAGCATTCGCGGGCTGCATCCACCCCTGAAGATTCGCCCACCCGTTGATGAAGAAAGTGTGCCTGATTAGAGAAGGCGCTCCTTCCTGCTGATAGGCGAACTTCACGCGACAGTGCATGACGTACTCGCACGCTAATGCTCAAGGCTTCTGTTTGAAACGCTGCACGAACTCTTTCAGGAAATCCTTGTCTGGCTTGCAGTTGGGGTCTTTGAGTGACGCCGTCGTCGCAAGAGCCTCGAGCACAGCCACTCCTACTGCGAGCGACGGGGGGCCCATCGCGTGGCTTTTCTTCCCGTCAACGACTTGCTTGTACTGCTGTCCAGCCGCCACCGCCGCGCCGTTGAGGAGGTGCTTCCGCGGGAGCACGCGGGTCGATAGCATGCACCCCTCCAACCCGCGGATCCGCTGGGCGTGGTTCAACGATGCGTTCATTATCTCCTCGGCCGTATTGTCTTTGCTGTCGGCGTTCCGATCCATCCATTCCCCGCCGGCCGCCACCTTCTGGGTCTTGGGATCCTTGCCTTCTCCTATCTCGACGACGAATGAGTTCTGCCTGGAATTTGAAACGGAGACGCATGATTTGACTCGAGATCCATCGTCGCCTTCTGCTGCTCCCCCGTCGGCGGTGAAAGCACCCAAGCCATTCTGCGGTTCTGGGGCCAGGAAGGTTAGGTAGGGCTCAGGGGCGAGACCGAACCACTCGGATGGTCCTTTTCGCACGCCGGGCAAGCATAGCAAATCTGGTCCTCTATCTCGTGGGCGAAGTGATGCCGATCAGCATGACATAGTTTCTTTAGGAGTAAGGTGCGCACGTCTTGTCGTGCCATCGCTTTGTTACTAAAGGTCGTCATGCACCACTGGCACTGGTTGGCGACTGTGAGTACTTGGCATCATGCTTTGTGTCGATGCGCTCCCCCTCCGCGAACCGTCAGTGTGCGTAATTACCACCCCCGCTTGTCGTGAAATTTCAGCCCACAGGTACTACCATCGTCGCCCTCTTCACGGCACGCCCACGTTCGTTGTTCAATAGGTTCCCGGCTCGAGGCATCCCGGCTCAAGGCACCCCAGCTCGCCAGCCGCCCACTGCCCGCCGCCCGTGGCCCCCGCTCCCCCATCCCTCCTCCCTCGCCCTCGCGCGGCCCCGCGGCCTGCACCCGGCGAGGACCTGGCAGCCCTCCGCACCAGAGGGAGCGACCAGCTCGCGTCTAACATCACGCCTGGGTAGTCGAAGGCCAGACTGTCAGATTGGATTGGGCCCCAAGGGCCAATCTGGCCCGGCCAAACTGGATGATTTGGGTTATTCGCCAGACTGGATTCGCGTTGGCTCCCTCGCCAGATTGCCCCCGTTTGCCAGATTGGGCCTGCCAGATTGGCGCCAGATTGGCTTCGACTACCCAGCACGCTGGAGCAGAACCTCGACCAGCGAGTTTCCGACTCATCTGACTGCCTGGCGCTGCGTCACATGGACTCCGTAGATACACCGGCGACCGACATGGACATGGAAGCGCCACCCTCCGCGATGACCCCGCGGATCACAATCGCCGAGCTGGGCGATCGCATTATCGGCCTCGAGAGGATGATCGCCGAGACGCTCCAGCAGGCCATCACCACTGCGCCCAGGAACACGCTCCTGCCGCGTGGCCTATGCATGGCCCGCGCCGCCACCGCCGCCGCCCCTCCGAGGCCTCCCCGGCGGCTCTCCCCCTTCCATCTGCCCTTCGAGGGGTCACGACGGCGGCAGCACCGACCTGGCCGCCGTCGCAGCCAGAGGGCCGTTCACCCGCTGACACGCCGTTCTTGCCGATGTTGGCAACCGAGGCATGGTTGGAGTGCTCGCGGGAGGAGACAGGAAAGATCACGGAGAACTCCTGCTGCGCCGCCCCCGTTTCGGACACACAGAAGCCCTGTTGCGCCGCCCCCGTTTCGGGCACGGAGGTGCAGCTTGCGACAGAGGGCTCGGGGAAGGCGAAAACGCCCGAAGTTTCCGCCAGCGTCGACCCCACCATGGACCGCGACAACGTCAGTTGCCCCAAGGTGCTGTCCCAGTACACCTCCGTTGACAAGGAGAAGCTCTACTACATCTACCGCGACGTCAAAGAGAAGATCTGCTACGTCACCCTCGACTTTGACATGGATCCGAGGCTGTCCATCCAGCCAGAAGGTGCGAACGCGAATGCGAGTGACGGATGTGATACCACCTACTGTCCCACCACGACAGGCGACGACGAGATTGACAAGGAACACTCCACCACCATGGTCTTGACCGGCGGCACCACGACGCTACTCCGGATCGAAAAGTCAGGGGACCCGAATCGACGATTACGACAGGATGGCGACTTCTCTTCTCACTGAACCCGTGATCCCATCCCAGAAACCAACATTGCCCCTGCCTCGCACCCTCCAGGTGTCAATGCCCCCAATCCTGACCTACTCTTTTTCGACCCCACCGCTAGGAAGGCACATTCCTTAGATCAGGAGCCTGCGGAGGACTACCCCCTCGTCAAGTACCACCGCGACCACTTTGGCACTCACGACTCGGAACACAACCACGACTACGACTACGAGTACAACCACTCCCACCGCCTCTCTGACTCCATCTACGATCACCCCAGCAAAAAATATGACCATCATGGCGACCACTACGAATTCGACCATCACAATCAGCACAGCGGCAGCTGGCAGCACCACGACCAGCACAAACACTGGGCGCTTCATCCCCGCGACCGACCCCAACACCAATTGGCCCCAAGCCCTTGAGGGCTGTCAGAAAAATGTTACGGAGACGGTGCGGCTCTTGTATACTTTTATACGTAGTGGTGTACTGGTATTTGCCTCCGCTGTGTTGCATCGGCTTTGCAGAGGCACGGTCTGGACGGGCCGGGCGTCTTCCAGGTGACGCGGAGGGCCTTCCTGGCGATGCTGACTGCGCAGGTGCCTGCATGCCGCGCCCGTTGGGTGGACGCCGGCGTGTCGCACCTGGCGCCGGGACCGACGCAGGCTCCATCGCCCGCGCCGGCGCCCGCACCAGTCTTGCTACCACCACCGCTTCCGCCTTCACCATCGACGCTGCCAACCACACTTACCTTCACTCCAACTCCGACTTCTGCTCCGGCGCTGTCTCAGCTTCCAAACCGCGCAGCAAACGCGGGCGCTTATGCCAGTGGCGCCGCAAGCACCGACGCCAGCATGTACGCAGGCGCGTGCACCAGTTCCGACGCAAGCGCCTACACCAGCGTCGACGCCACCACTGACACCAACACGAGCCACAACGCCTACACCAGCGCCGACGTCACCACCGGCACCAACGCAAGCTCCCACACCAGCGCCGACGCCGGTACGTACGGACGCCAAGCTCCGAGCAGCAGGACTGACACCACTCCAGCAATCACTACCGCCACCAACGCCGCCGCCACGACCACCACCCCCACCGCCACCACCGCCGCTTCAAGTTCTAAGTTCCACACTCCGCGCCCCTACCACTTCCACAGCAGGGGCCGCGCATAAGCAACTCCACTCCAACATCGGCTCCTGCCCCGGCGCCGGCTACGACTCCGACTCTGGCTGAATTCGATGCACGACCCTAGCGCAGGGAGTTGCGCTGCTGGGCCCTCGCAGCACTGGTACCACTACCCGTGCCCGTCACCTTGCAGCCTCGCCCTTGCACGGGGGCGGCGACCAGCAATACCTATCGTGGTCCCGACTGTCATCATCAGTCGAAGCACCCTCATGATGGAAAGGGAGAAATTGAGACCTGTGCCGCGATACGACGCTATGCTGGCGACGGCGTGCGCCGCTCTCCTATGCGCCCTCTCCTTGGCGCTCATCCGCATGCTCGCCCCCAGGCCCGAGTCCACAGCGATCGTGCTTTTCCGCTGCGTTCGGCAGTTCGTCTGACTCCCACTGTGTGCTTTATATACGTGGCTGCCTTGCCACCAGGGAGTCT